ACGTACGTACGTACGAGTAGAGAGAGAGAGAGAGNNNNGGAGGGGGCGGGGAGTTAGGGTGCTCAAACATCTTATATTCTGTTTAACATGTAAACTGTAAGAACTGTCTTCGACTCGGTTTAGTGAATTGATTATTCTTTTAGTGATAATTTGGTAACATCATATTTCTTGTCTTCTGGTTATGCACAAGTGCAGTTTAATTAAGTGTACTCAGCTTTTACTAGTAAAATAAATTTGCTAGGAAGACATGGAATGTTGTGTATACCAACTTATATACCAACTTAAAGTACCTAATCCATGTTCTATCTTTCTTCCTTCTCCTTTTTCCTCTGGTTATTAGTATTTTCCGTGGAAACTCCAATCCAACCTCAACTTTTAGATCCATCAGCTGTGGTCTCATTTGGATGTGATTCACCCAGTTCCTGATGTGGTTTTCAGTTGCAAGTTGCGACTACTTTATAATATCAGACCTTGATCCCTTGTTTGGTGATGGTACTCAGTACACATGTATAGACTGTCCTGGGAATGAGATACTGAACGTAAATCTGTTGATAAGATATGGTAGATTGAGGAATGATCAGCTACAAGTATATGAAAATATTGTCGCTTCAATGCATTATGGCATGGAAAGAGGAGAGATCCCTCTATTTGATTCTGAGTTGTCATACTACTGTGCCTGAATATGCTTTAATATGGACACCAAGTGATAGCTTAGAAAATATGTTGGTTTCTCCACTCTTAGAAGTCTTCACTAAGATGCTATCGGAAGGAGAAAATAAGATTTAGGAGGGAAAAGGTAGAGAGATGCGACAGCAGTTCTGTCAACAAGTGGCTGTGGAATATAATTTGAAAAGTAGAGCTCCATATAGTTGCCATCTTTTGTCGGCTGGATAGTTATTTTGTTGGGTAATTTGTTATAATGCTGTTTTAACTTAATTTAACTTGTAGAACTAGGGGTTGAATGTTTTTACGCGATGTGTGAAATGGAGATTGAGGATATTAATCAATTATTCCTTTTGGTAACTCAATTATGAGACCTCTTTCTAAAAATATTTTCTTAGTTTGAGATGGACAGTACCGAGGACTTAGCAAGAATATGAAAAGATAACAGAACAGTATACTGATAAAAATAAATTATGGAACAGTAGCTCATGCTGAGTAGTTTAGAGCTTAGAAGGAAAGATATCAAAGATGATTCTGAAAAGAAAATCAGAAACAATACACAAACTCAAATAAATGAATACGTCTATTTATAATGTCCTTTTGGCATATTATGCTAGTTCTAGGTGAAGGTTAAAAGGTGCTAAATTCTTAACTGCCCTAACAGGAATGGTGAAGGGGCTGACTATTGTAATAAGTATTCTATGTATGCAAAATGATCTTAGTTCTATTTTGTATTAATAAAATTGTTTGTTTACTTACTGGGAAAAGAGATGCAAAGTACCCGCATCAGAGCATCTAGTGGCAATTAAAATCAGAAACCCGAAGTTCATTCTCACTTCAAGAAATTTAAGCACTAGGATAAGTTGCCTCATGGACGCCTTTAAACACTGATTTCTTTTATCGCATTGTCATAGCATATGAGAACTTCATTCTTTTTCTCTCTTCATGCTGGTTAGGGCTTGCAGCCTACTAGGTTTTTGTGGGTATCAATATCCTGTTAGAAACTTGATACCTATAGGTAATAAAGCAACATTATATTTTTATTGCTTGTCGAAAAAAGTAGTGTCTTTTTTTTTTCATGCCTCGCGCGGATAATTCATTGTATGAAAGCTTTTCCTGAATTGCAAGGAGACTGTCAACAATTGATTGATATGCCATTCAAGGAGCTTAAGTTTGAGAGCTATAATGATAGGCCATCCTGATGCAAAGCTAAAGCATCGTTATGGATGAAAAAAATTGCAACCGCAGGAGATTCGAAGGTGTATATCAAAATCAACTTTGTCTCAACTCAAACTAGTTGGGGTCAGCCATATGTATCCTCTTTATTTCTATTTGGGTGGACCCTCCTCTGTAAGCACGTTTCAGTTAATTTAATATTTAAGATTCAGCATATGACTATTTTTACACTATAGTTTGTGTTGGTAAGCAAGCTAGAACAACATTTTTCCTTTATCTGGGCTTGGGATCAGACACACGAAGTCCAATATTAACCCAAAGCTAACGTGCTGTTCACTGATAATTGAAATCCCAATACGGGAGTCCCATGTTGCCTGGAAGAGTTGAACTTGAGATTCCTATGTGAGGTTTGTAAGTGAATTAATTTCTGCACCCACTACTCTTTTGTGATAGTGAATGCATTTGTCTTGCTTGGTAGTGCTTGACTAATAAATTACAAAGATCTTTTCTTGCTTGTTTAGTGAAGTCATTTGCGGAAGTGAGTGCTTGCTATGGTAGAGCTTTTTATTTTTAATAACCGTGGGGTCTGGGCTGGCTTCTGCGCGCCTCGACTAATTCCACGAGATACTTGCTACCTCCCACCAACAACAGGTGTAACTCTGTCCACCAAGGCTTTTGCCTTCGCTGGAATTCGAAAGGAAATTGTCCATGCCCAAGTAAAGAAAAAGTTCATAAGATCTCAAAATGATCTTCCAGCTCTAATAGTTCTATTTCCATCGAGGAGTGAATTGACTAATCCAATAGTTCCATTTCCATCGAGGATTGAATTGACTAATCCTTTTATTTCGAGCGGAGAATCTAATAGGAATATTGCTGTGGATATTTTGGCCAAAGATATACATTCCTTATCCTAAGCATGCACATTGATGGACAGTTTGTGAAAAGATAATTATCTGGCTTTGTTAGTACTTAGCTATCATGACTTAGCATATTGAGGCTACCATTGGGCTCTGAGTTGTTTTCAGTTAACTATCAGCTTGCACTCTAGTGACCACACGGTCCAAGTTTGATGAGGAATGTGAAAATCTTATAATAGCACATGGCTAGCGACGGGTAGCGCTTGCCATATGCAGCGTCACTCACATTGGCTCGTGTAAAGGGAAGCTCTTCGAGCTTTCTTCGCATGCTTGAGCGCATCCCCTTTCTATTAGTTAGGTTGTCAAATTTTCTTTAGTTCCTATATGACTATAATATAAATAATAGGGGGGTATGGGGGCGCTAATGATCAAGAAATCTAAAGGGCTATAACCTTCTTAGGTCGGATCTTCCAATCTTTTCACAGATCACTTAGCCCGCTCCTTTAAAGGGCAGCGGCATGAAATCTTACCTTATTATTAGAGAATAAACTATATGCTTTGGGCACTTATATTGGTTTAACAATGGCAACTTTTGGATGTCCAGGCTCTAACAATTGCTTTAGTCTGCATAGATGTTTCTCTTTGCAGCTCTTTTGGCTTTGGGTGTGCCTTGGGCTTTGCAAGTTATTTCGGTTAACTGCAGTTGGCTTGCACTTAGTTTAGCTAAGTAGTCCAAGTCTGATGAGGAACATGATACTGCTACAATCCCTCATGGCTTGTTAAATATGTGCCTTAAATCATTTATCTTGGGCTACTAATTGTAAGCTCTAGACATGCAAGTTCTAGCAGTTGCTTTGAGTTGGATTAGATGTTTCTCTTCTTGGCTCCTTGGTCTTATGGTGAAGTGCTAGCTGAGTAGACTGTTTGGAATGCATATTTTGCTACTCAACTAAAGATGCCTCAATTGGAGCTACTTTTCTTTTGGTGACCCTAATGTATTCTTCGTGATTAGATGTTTGACATTTCACTTGCAGACATTGATTATTGATACAACAAATACAGAAAAGACAAAGGTGGCAGGACAGTAAGAAGAGATCGGAGCAAGCATTTGATCATCTTTTTGATAGTATTCAAACTAGAATTTGCTTTTCTGTGGTTTGATTTCGTGGTTCTCCTTGTTGAGTTTGCATGTAATTAGCCTGAAGCATTTGCGTCAGCTTGATTGTGGGTGACATGACATGAGAATTGAGCTAATTGGAAGTTTTTAGCATCTTTTTAATGGTTTTCTGCTATATAACCTTGGGATCATTTGTGAGATTGCAGCAGTTTCTTCTGTAATAGAGTTCAGTAAGTAGCATTTGAATTCCAAAACCAAAAATTATGCTCTCTTGACGTGTTTGTTATCATAACAGGTTGTGCTATGCTGATACCGAATTGTGGAAGATTGCCCTGATAATCAGAAAATGTAGCTATTTCTGTGCTCTCTATTCAATCTTGAAGGATAAGATAGACTACAAACTTTTATCTTTCTAAGCTTTTTTGATAGGTTACTTATTCTTTCTTAGCTTCTGTTGCATGGTGATAGAAAGAAACACAAGCAGCTGATTCGGTAGTTCCACCATGTAGCTTCTGGTTTATGTTATACCTTAAAAAAAGTCACAGGATATTGTACTTGTTAAGCTTGTTGGGTGACATGACATGAGAAAAGAGATACTATGTATATGTAATTAGCAATTTGCTGCCCAAGAAATTCTTCCCTATCAAGAGAAGGAAAACATTTTCAAAAACCCCTTTCTCAACCTTCCCTACCCCATTCAAACAAAAAAAAAAAAAAAACTTTCTTTTCTTGTAGAAAAAAATATTTTTTTTCCATTTCAACAAAAAAGTATTTTCTTTTCATGATGTAGAAAAAGCATTTTTTTTGTTTCAATAAAATGAATACTTTATGTTCATGTTAGAAATAATGCTTTCTTTTTTAACCAAAAGAATAGTATTTATTTTTTTTTAGTTAGGAGCATAAATTTCAATGTTATTTTTGCGTAAAAGAATAAAGCAACACATTAGTTCCTTTGGGTTTGTGAATTTTTAGAAGAATAATTAAATTCTTGAAGAAAATAGAGTCATGAAAATGTTGGTTATTTGGGGGAAGTGGGGAGCAAGGAAACATAAGGGCTTGGGGGAAGTGGGAGAGGTGAGGAGAGTAGCATAAAAAAAAATATTTTCTACCCTCTAACCAAATACTAAAAAATATTTTTCAGATTCCAGTCATCAATCAAACAAAAGAAAATAAGTGATAAAATCACGCACTTTCCATGAAAACATTTTCTAGGGAAATATTTCATAGAAAATATTTTCCTTCATTCCAAACATACCCTTCGTCGCATAATCTTTTCATACCTCAAAACATTTAAATCATTATTCTTATTTTGTCACCTTAAATTTTGTACAATTAAATCAATATATATGTGACGATCCGGAATTTCCACCGTCGGAACCGTGATGATGCCTAATTTTTCACTTGCTAGGCAAGCTAACGTTAGAATATTCTATCCATTTTTAACAGTTTAATATTAGTTAATGAGAAAGGAACGAAAAACTACGGCAATAATCCAAAGTAATAATGCGGAAACTAAACTGCCCAACGTCTAATACATCCCTATCCGGTGTCACAAGTGCACAAGCTGCTAAAATAGTACATACAAGGGTCTGAAATAACATAAAGCTGTCTGAAAAGAAGGTACTCAGCTAAACAAAAAGAAGAGAAGGGGACTCCAGGAGCTGCAGGCGCTGAGCAACTGTACCTCAAGTCTCTATATGTTGTCCAATCCGAGCTCACTAATAACCGCCGATGGGATCAACTCCAAAATATGCACAAGAAGTTGAGAGTGTAGTATGAGTACAACCGATCCCATGTGCTCCGTAAATGCCGAGCCTAACCTCGACGAAGTAGTGATGAGGCTAAGGCGGGTCACCTACACTACAACCTGTACGCAGTATATAATATTGACAGAAAATAGAAATACGGAACATGATACAGCCTAAAAAAATAAGTCAGTGTTGTCCAGAATTACCAATCCTTAGCATTTCAAATGAGAATACCGAAAACCAACACAACTCAATAAATTATAAACACATAGGTTGTTGCGGCGTGCAACCCGATCCCACCGTACAACACAGAATCCTCCCTTACTACATTGTAATAACATCAATAACAGAGATAATATATAAATATTGCGGCGCGCAACCCGATCCCACCATATATCAATATCAGTATCATAATTCACCCTTATTTCACCATATCAATTCACCCTTATTCCACCTGTTGCGGCGTGCAACCCGATTCCACCGTACAATACAAATTCACCCTTATTCCACCATATCAATCCACCCTTATTTCACCTATTGCGGCGTGCAACCCGATCCCACCATATCAGTACCAAACCATATCAGTACCAAATACTCAATGTGCACAGTCAAATTAACAATTCAAACCACGAAAACCTTTACGATCGATAAATTCTAAACTAAACCAGAAAGGGAAGCTTTGTACAACATAGGAATCTACATAAGTAATACTACTCAGCGAGACCAATCCAGTAATTGACAATTACAAGGTGCAAGCAAGTCAATTTAAGCAATTAGCAGGGAATCATGAAACTATGAAAAGATCTAACATCATTTACAGGAGAAGGCATTGATTAACAGGTAGCAGTTAAGCATGGAAAGCATCTAGAGCATATAACAATTAGATAGAGAAGGAAATAATGAAGGAAAAGCGGAGAATCAGGGAAAACAAATAATTCAGATGCGTATAAGCACTCGTCACTTCGCATATACACCGCTTACATGAAATTCACTTTGCACATAGTCCGAGGGTTCCTAATTTCCTCAAGTCAAGGTTAAACTCAACACTTACCTCGCTCTAAAGACCTCTTAAATCTCAACCACAACTTTGCCTTTCAAACAAGCCTCTGAACCAACAATATCTAGCAAATTACCAACCAACGATTCAAAATAAGCCTTAGGAATCACCCACGATTGCAAAACATCCAATTTAGGTCATTATTGAAAAAGTCAACTCCCGGGCCCGCTTGGTCCAAACCCGAAATTCGGACAAAAATCCAATTACCCATTCACCCCCGAGGCCGGTTATATAATTTGTTTTAGAATCCGACCTCAATTCAAGGTCTAAATCTCAATTTCACAAAAATTCCTAATTCTACGCAAACCTCAAATTCCACCATGAAAACACTAGATTTTAGGTTGAAATCTTAGAAAATGTAATGAAATATTGAAAGAAAATGGATTAGAATCAATTACCAATGGTTTGGGGAAGAAGGGTGCTTGGGAAAATCGCCTCTAGGATTTTCTTGTTTTGAAATTTTGAAGAATGAACAAAATCCCGTCTAACCCAAGTTTTACATAGTTGCAGATGTCGCAATTGCGAGCATCGCAATTCCGAGAAAGAGGCCGGCACCGCCTACCGTATAATGCCTCGTAGGGGGCCATCTGAATGCTCGACTGGTAGCTGTTGTTGTAGGTAAACTCTGCAAGTGGCAAGAACTGATCCCAAGAACCTCTGAAGTGTATAACACAAGCATAGAGCATATCCTCCAATATTTGAATAGTGCGCTCGGACTGTCCGTCTGTCTGAGGATGAAATGTTGTGCTCAACTCATCCTGCGTGCCCAACTCACGTTGTACTGCCCTCTAGAAGTGCGAGGTGAACTGTGTACCTCGGTCAGAAAAGATAGACACGGGCACACCGTGAAGACGGACGATCTCGCGGATGTAAATCTCAGCCAACTGCTCTGAAGAATAGATAACTGCCACAAGAATGAAATGCGCTGACTTGGTAAGCCTGTCCACAATGACCCAAACTGCATCGAACTTCCTCCGAGTCCGTGGGAGTCCAACAACAAAATCCATAGTGATACGCTCCCACTTCCACTCAGGAATCTCTAACTTCTGAAGCAAACCACCAGGTCTCTGATGCTCATACTTTACTTGCTGACAATTTAGGCACCGAGCTACATATGCAATTATATCCTTCTTCATTCTCCTCCACCAATAATGCTGTCGCAAGTCCTGATACATCTTGGCGGCACCCGAATGAATAGAATACCGGGAACTGTGGGCCTCCTCAAGAATCAACTCACGAAGTCCATCTACATTAGGCACACAAACACGACCCTGCATCCTCAAAACTCCGTCATCCCCAACCGTAACCTACTTGGCATCACTGTGTCGCACTGTGTCCCTAAGGACAAGCAAATGAGGGTCATCATACAGCCGCTCCCGAATGCGCTCAAACAAGGAAGACGGAGCGACCGCAAATGCGAGATCTGCAGCAGACACCAGAAACTAAAATGCATCAACTATGTTTTCTAAGTCCAATTCACTCCGTAGCCTATCCGAAAATCACCCAAGCCCTCGGGGATCCAAACTAAACATGCACACGAATCCAATAACATCATACAAACTTGATCGCGCGATCAAATCGCCAAAATAACACCTAGAACTACGAATTGAACACCAAATCAAATGAAATTTTCAAGAAAACTTTGAAACTTCTATTTTTGCAATGACGTCCGAATCATGTCAAACCAATTCCGTTTCTCACCAAATTTGACAGACTTAAATACAGTAATGGACCTATACCGAGTTCCGAAACTAAAATACGGACCAGATATCAATAAAGTCAAACACTGGTCAAACTTCCAAAGTCATTAAGCCTTTAAATTTTTAAATTTCCACAAAATGCGATAATTCGGATTAGGGACATCCGAATTCGATTCCAGGCATACGCACAAGTCCCAAATCACGATATGGGCCCACCAGGACTGTCAAAATACGAATCCCGGTCCGTTTGCTCAAATTGTTGACCGAAGTCAACTCAAATGGATTTCAAAGCAAATTTTTTATATTTTTATCAGTTTTTAACATAAAAGCTTTCTGGAAAAACACCCGGACTGCACGCAAATCGAGGAGGGTAAAATGACGTATTTAAGGCTTCAAAGCTCAGAAT